GCTCTCGGGAGCCTGGTGCTGCTGCGTGGAGTCCTCATGGTGAGTCCCATGTGCTTCCTGCTCCATAGGAAGGCCTTCTGCCAGCATCATGTCATCTCCCATTCCTACTGTGAACACATGGCCGTGGTGAAGCTGGTATGTGAGGACACCAGAGTCAATGCTGCCTACGGCCTCTCTGTGGCCTTGTCAGTGATAGGAGCTGACCTCACGGTGATTGTTGTGTCCTACACCATGATCCTGCGAGAGATAACGAAGCTGTCGTCATCAAACACACAGCTCAAGACCTTTAACACGTGTGTATCACATGTCTGCGTCCTCCTCACATTTTATGTCTCTGGACTCTTCACATTCCTTGCCCACCGGTTTGGACACAGCATCCCTCAGCACATCCATATATTGGTGGCCAACCTCTACATGCTGGTGCCCTCCACTTTAAACCCCATCATTTATGGGCTGAGAACCAAGAAACTCAGGAACAAGATAGTTGTCCTCTTCCAGCAAAGGGGAATCTGACTCGTGTCTGTATGTCACAAATGGTTCTCATTTTCTACTGATGACTTCCATATATTTGAACAGTTAATGCTGAGAGTCTTTGTTCCAGGAAATTTCTCAGTTCATGGAACACATGGTGAGCATTCTTGGTAGATTTTCTTTTACTAGTGTAATTAAAGATTTCCTGTGTAATTAAAGATGGCAGAAAGACTTTCAGTCTGCCTTTTACAGTGCTGGGAAGAACTTAAAATCCTCTATGATAAAATACTTTAACAATTGGGCAAATAAATATTCTTCAAATACAAATATTTCCAGTCTGACCCTCAGACTGAGCATCTCCAAAAGACCTTTCTGTAGCAGCCCTCATTTTGCCAACACTGTTCTCTGGGCTGTGTGAATGTGCTCAGATGTGAATGACAGCTGTCCTTGTAGAGGAATCGGGGAACATTGAATCTCATGCTCTACATTCACCCTTTTGTTTTATGTTTGTGAAGCAGACACATCCAAAACATTCCTAGAGAAGACAATTCATAAGATCCTACGTAAATGCAAACCTTCCTAAAAAAAACAGACTTTCTCACCGATGAAATTATTGGTAGTGACCAGTCATAGAGAGATCATTGCTCACAAGACTGTGCTCTACCACCAGCAGTCAAACATCCCAATAAACCAGTAAACATGTTTTACTAAACCTCTGCTTGGAATGTCAGAAAGGTAGGAGGCTCAACGCGGTGAAGCTCAGATGTGGACCCAAATTCAAGTACTGAATCTGACTCTCACATGCTCTGGGCCTCTGCTCTGTGTGCAACGTGAGCAGCGTTACCAGGCGCAGAGGACATCTCCGACCTGGCCTGGCACTGCTTGGAGCTCTCTGTCTCCACAGCAGATGTGACAATGAGGGCTGCCCACGGGGAGGCCCTGCTCCCTGCTCTGTGTCTGAGCTGGATATACCAGTGGTGACACAGGAATATCATCACAGCTGGTCAGCAAATTCACCCACCATTTGTTCCTTTACATCAGGCAGGTCCATCCCGTAGCCTGCAGACTGCATTTGAGCTGTACAAGGTAGTAATTAGGTTCAGTCCCTGCTGCCATCCATTGTGACAGCAGCTCTTCCCTGCCAGGTGGCTCTGGGTGCACAGCCATCACTCAGCAACAACCCAGACATCAGTCCGAGACAATTCCTCTTCACTCAACACAGCCCCAGCAAAAATTTGCACACCTCTGCTCTGCAACTTTCCACATCCCTACTTCCACTGAGCTGGCATACGTCAGGAGTGCACTCTGCAAACTTCCACCACGTGGAACATGCGCACACGGTGCTCTCTGGAGTTTGGGATATGTGCTCCTTTTCCAGGTCGCTATATACGTCCTCCAGCACAGCTCACTCCCTCAGGTACCTCTCTCCACGGTAGTCCATGGGCAAAGCTGCTTCTGGACCTTGTCCTTTTCCAGCAGGGATGGGCTTGTTAGGGATGTGAAGGTTGGGGGCACCTTGGGATTTAGCGCTCATGAGATGGTCGAGTTCAGGATCTCGTGCAGAAGAAGTAAAGCAAAAAAGTAGGATTGCTATCTTGGACATCCAGAGAGTCAACTCTGATCTTTTTCAAGGCCTACTTGGAGGGATCTCATGGCCTAGAGTGCTGGAATGTAAGGGGGCTCACGAGAGCTTGGTAACATTTAAACAGCACTTCTTCCAAGCTCAAGACTTGTGCATCCCTAACAGTAGGAAACCGGGGAAAGGAGGCAGGAGACCTGCGTGGATGAGCAAGGAGATCATGGATAAGATCAAAGGGAAGAAGAAGGTTCATGAAATGTGGAAAAAGGGCCTGTCCTCTTGGGACGACTATAGGAGTGTTGTCAGGGCCTGCAGGGAAGCAATGAGGAAGGCTGAAGCTTGCCTGGAGCTTAAGCTGGTGGAGAAGATAAATAAGAAGAGCTCCTCTTTCATATGCTAACAGTAAAAGGACGACTCAGGACAATGCGGGTCCCCTGCTGAACAAGGGAGGTGTCCTGGTAATGGGAGATGCTGAGAAGGTGGAGATGCCAAATGCCTTCTTTGCTTCGGTCGTCACTTCAATGTCTGCCCCTCGGGACTTCTGGACACTGGAGGGAAGAGAGAGAGCCTGGGAAACTGAGAGCTTCACTTACACTGTGGAAGGGGTGGTCCCAGAGCATCTGGGATGGATGTGCAGAAATCCATGGGCCCAGATGGGATGCATCCACGTGTGTTGAGGGAGCTGGCAGAGGAGATTGCCAAACAGCTCCCTGTCATCTCTGACAGGTCTTGGAGAACAGGAGAGGTGCCTGAAGACTGGAGGAGAGCCTGTGTCACTGCGGTCCTCAAAAAGGGGAAGAAGGAGGATCCAGGAAACTACAGGCCAGTCAGTCCAACCTCTGTCTCTGGAAAGGTGACAGAACAGCTTGTTCTGGATGCCATCTGCAAGCAACTGAAAGAGAAGACGGTCATCAGGAATAGTCAGCATGGATTCTCCAAGGGAAAATCGTGCTCAACCAACCTCATAGCCTTCTGTGATGGCATCTCTGTCTGAGTAGGTGGGGGGAGAGCGGTGGACATCATCTACCTTGACTTCAGCAAGGCTTCTGATACAGTCTCCCACAACATCCTGATATTGAAGCTGAGAAAGTGTGCGATAGATGAGTGGACGCTGAGGTGGGCTGAGAACTGGCTGACTGGACGAGCTCAGAGGGTTGTGATCAGTGCTGCAGTGTCCCGTTGAAGGCCCGTGACTAGCAGTGTTCCCCAAAGGTCAGGGTTGTGTCCAGTCTTGTTCAATATCTTCATCTCCAACCTTGATGAGTGGATAGGTGTTCACCCTCAGAAAGTGCACCAATGATACAAAGCTGGGAGGAGTGGCTGACAGACCTGAAGGCTGTGCTGCCATTCAGCAAGACCTGGACAGGCTGGAGAGCTGGGCAGGAACAAACCAGATGAGGTGTGACGAAAGCAAGTGTTGAGTCTTGCACCTGGGAAGGAATAACCGCAGGTATCAGCAGAGGTTGGGACGTGAGCTGCTGGAGAGGAGCTCTGCAGAGAAGGACTGGGGGTGCTGGTGGGCGACAGGTCGGCCGTGAGCCAGCAGTGTGCCCTGCTGGACAGGAAGGGCAATGGGATCCTGGGGTGCATTAGAAGGAGCGCAGCCAGCAGGGCAAGGCAGGGCATCCTCCCCTCTGCTCTGCCCAGGTGAGGCCTCACCTGGAATACTGTGTCAAGTGAGGGAAGGATTGTCCCCTTCTCCAGCAGCGTTGACAATATTCCCTTCTCTGGTGAGGTGTTCCAGCATCCTGGCTTCTTTGCTCTATCAGTCTGCTCTGCTGGCACCATGTTCCCAGTGTTGGAGCATCCAGGGGACAAACGGATCACATGGATGCAATCTCAAATGTTTTCACAAAACTTGCAGCTCAGTCAGGGATACGTTTTGGATGGTTACTGACACTTTTATGAGGTCTGCCTCTACTTGCTGATCTCTTCCTTCACCTTGTGAATGGCCACGCAAAGAAGTAGCCTTCCTCTTCCTCTTTGCTAATTGATATTTCTTCCCCAACTAAGTAAGCCAAAATTTGCATCCGTTGTTTCGTTTAGAGAGGAGGGTGATGGACACTGGCATGTCTTGGTACCCTGGTTCAGCTGCTCCAGGGCCAGGGTCAGTAGTTAGGTAAGAAGAGGGCATGGAATAGGTGCTGTTTCAGCCCTGGGCTTCTCACAGGACTTAAATGAGATCTAGAGGCATTTTTCTACTTTCCAGGGCTCACCATAGTGTTTAATTGCATTCTACAGAGTTCAGCAGCATTTATCAGGAGCAGAAATCAGGCGCACAGGTCAGGAGGTCGCAGGGAGAATCCCGTGACGAACTGTGAAGCCATAGACTGGGTTGGCTGAGCATTCTTCGGGCCCCAGCTGACTCCAGAAGAGTAAGGACAGTCCTCAGTTCACACGCAAAAGGCCTAAAATAAGGGAATGGGAGGGATAAGGAGAGAGATAGAGGGGAAGGAAGGGTGGGAGGATGGGTTGCACTGTGGTGGAAAGAGGATAGGGAGTCGAAGGATCCCCAACATGGCACCCAAGGGGCATGACCCTGATGATCTTTACTGGTCCCTTCCAACCCAAACCATTCAATGATCCCATATTGTGTGGACACCACAAAAATCACACAGGCAGGTTCAATGAGCCACAACATGGGGCAAGTAACTCAACAAACTCTGGAAGGTACTGAAAGAAAACTGACCAAAGTTTTTCACAGACTATGAGCTCACCTGCACTGAGGTGATTAAAAGTTGATTTCTTTTGTGTTTCTCTTTTCTCTCCCTAATTACATGCTAATCGGCAGGGGAAATTCAGAACTCTGCTAAGATTTACCTGTAGCTTATAAATATCTCCTGGTCCCCACAGTGCCCAGTCCCTGCCTGGAAACCTGCACAAGGCAGGTGAGTATGGAGGGTTGGGGCAGAACTTGGCTGGTCTCGAGGCTCGCGCTCTCCCTGGACATGCCATGCCCTCCCTTCTTGCTGCTGCTGCCCCTCTCCCACACAAGTGACCACGGCCCCAGGGCAGTTGCTGAAGGCTCTTGCCAGGTCCCCAGCACTGCCCTGTCTGTGCTGCAGGGCTTCTCAAGCAATCCCTGTCCCCACCTATAGGGAAAATCCCGGGAGCTCAGCCATATTTGGGGCTGAGTGAGCTGCAGTCTGTGCAGGACAGGAATGGGCACTGCAGGAGCACTGCCGTGGAGGGGGCTTCTCCAAATGCGGGGCCACTGCCTCGGGGCTTTGCTCTGCAGTTGCATGTTTCTCACCCATGGCAAACACCCAGTGCCTCTGCTCACAGCAGCAGGCAGCTTGCTTCAGAACAAAGCTTCTGCGGAGCTGGAGGGTTGCTGCCAATGACTTTGCATCCCCTCTGTGCCCTTTTCCAGGTTTGCTTTGGACTGCTTTCCATCTGCAAGTTCTTATTTGCAAATTCAAATTCAGCAACAATCCTTTTTTGCACGCTATATGAGTTTCAATAGGGCCAAGTGTCAGGTCCTGCATTTTGGTCACAACAACCCCAGGCAGCCCTACAGGCTTGGGGAGGAGTGGCTGGAAAGCTGCCTGATGGAAAGGGACCTTGGTGTGCTGATGGACAGTCAGCTGAATGTGAGCCAGCAGTGAGCCCAGGTAGCCAAGAAGGCCAATGGCATCCTGGCTTGTATGAGGAATGGAGTAGTGAGCAGGACTGGGGAACTCATCCTGCCCTGTACTTGGTACTGGTGAGGCCTCACCTGGAGTTCTGTGCTCAGTTTTGGGCATCTCAGTACAGAAAGGACATGGAGGTGCTGCAGCAGGTCCAAAGAAGGGCAACAAGGCTGAGGAAGGCTTGGAGAATGTGGCCTATGGGGAGAGACTGAAGGAACTGGGGCTGTTTGGTGTGGGGAAGAGGAGGCTGAGGGGAGACCTGATTGCTCTCTTCCAACAGCTGAAAGGGGATTGCAGCAGAGCAGGGCTGGTCTCTTTTCACTGGCGACAGGACGAAGGGAAATGGCCTCAAGTTGTGCCAGGGGAGGGTTAGGTTGTATATCAGGAAAAACTTATTTACAGAAAGGGCTGTAAAGCACTGCAATGGGCTGCACAGGGAGGTGGTTGAGTCCCCATCCCTAGATGTGTTTAAAAATTGTTTGGATGTGGTGCTCAGAGATATGATTTAGGAGTGGGTTGTGAGAGAATGGTTGGGCTGTGATTGGACCTGATGACCTTTAAGGTCTTTTCCAACCTAAGCAATTCTATGCTTCTAGGATTCTTAAGACACTTGGTAAAGTGGGACAGACAGGGACACTTGTAAGTGGGAACTTCTAAGTGGGGGGGGAAGGGGGAAGTTCTTTACCCAGGGAGTGGTGAGGTACTGGAACAGGCTGCCCAGAGAGGCTGTGATGCCCCGTCCTTGGAGGTGTTCAAGGCCAGGTTGGATGGGGCCTGGGCAGCCTGGTTTAGCATTTAACGTGGAGGCTGGTGGCCCTGCATGTGGCAGGGGGGTTGAAGATTCATGATCCTTGAGGTCCCTTCCAACCCTGGCCATTCTGTGATTCTGTGACTCTGTGCACTGACAGGCACTTGTGGGAAACGTGCTCTCCTGAACCAGTGCAAGCAGCTGTGCCAGGGCTGGCTCTTTTGCACTTCTAAATCCATGTCTCCCTGACGTCTGTGTTTGCTGCTGACAACATCATCTCCAGGGTGTTGGATGCTTTGTTACAGGATGTGAGAGCCCTCAGGGTAGGCAAGAGACAAGAAGGGCTTCATGTCTTCTCTGAACTCCACCAACCCCTCCCACCCCCCCTCCTTCCTCCTGCTTGGCATTCCTGGGCTGGAGAAGCAGCAGTTCTGGATTGCCTTCCCCTTCTGCATCATGTACGCCATAGCTGTGCTGGGCAACATCATCCTTCTCATCGTCATCAAGACAGAGTCAAGCCTACATGAGCCCATGTACCTCTTCCTGGCCATGCTGGCCTTCACTGACCTGGTCCTCTCTACATCCATGCTGCCCAAAACGCTCGCCATCTTCTGGTGGGGCTCCAGGGAGATTGGCTTTGTTTCCTGCCTTGTTCAGTTGTTCTTTGTGCACACCTTCACAGCAGTGGAGTCAGGCGTGCTCATGGCCATGGCCTTGGATCGCTACTTTGCCATCTGCCATCCCCTGCGGCACTCCAGCATCCTCTCCATGCCGGTGGTGGCAGCTCTCGGGAGCCTGGTGCTGCTGCGTGGAGTCCTCATGGTGAGTCC